CAATCTATCAAGATTCAGCTACCGCTGCGAACCCATCAGCTCCATAGAAGGGAAAAAAGGAACCCCTCGCCACAGCAATTATTTATCCCTGCCTGAACTTCAGGTGACCTTTCCAGTTTCCACAGAAGTTGCAGTTGGGAGCACCTTGGTGGGTAGGGATCTTTTCAACACCCCCTCCGTTCTCCTTTTCACAAACACATGGACAGATGCAAATTTTTTTTCCAGAAAGATCTTTGGGTGGTCCACACGCTTTGACAAGAGTACAGCACTGACTTGTCCAGAGAGGAAACCTCACCGCTCCCTACCCCGCCCATCCCCTAATCACAAACCCTGTCCCTGTCACCTGTGACCCGATGACCTCTCCAGAGATAGTTCAGAGCAGACCCCAGACAGCCCCCTGCCCCCCGCACACATAAGAATGTCAACAGAGGGCTGTTCTGTGCCGGAGGATCCACTGTGCCCTCATATGATGTAATATCCTAAACTCTGAAAGTGTGTGTCCCCAAGTGGGAGTAGCATGCAGTCCCCAATAAGGGCTCTGCAGGGTGTAACTCCCTGTGTAAATTTAAAGTGAGCTGAGGGACATCATTACACAAATCTCATCACGAGACAATATACTTTTTATTTGTTTGAATTTTATTTGTATTGGTAAAACTCACCTGAAACTGACACAAGTTTATTAGAAAAGGGGACTCTCTAAGAGCGAGTGGGCTGGCCTTCTTATTTAAGATGGATGTGCCAACTTCTAGTATGATTACAGAAATGGATAACTCACTAACATCTGTGCAAACTACAATAAAAAGGGATTTAGTGTTACCCCAAGGAAGCCAAGAGAGGCTGTCTGTCCATTAAACGCTTTATTACAGCGCCAGCAGCTTTTCTCTAATTCAGTTATTCCTGCACCACGCTCAGCACACTGCCTGCCTGTCAAACCCAGCAGACAGTGCTCGGGGCTGGGAGGCTTCCGTGCAAGGTGGGTGACAATCAAATGAGCCACCGAGAAGAGAGGGGGCGCCTGACCCTCGTGAAGGATTAACTAGAAAGTGAGTGCGATCCGTGTGGCACCAATCCCTTAGAATCCTCACAGTCAATTTCTGAAAATATGAGCTAAGTTCTTAAAGAGTCGGTTTGCGTCAGGAGCTCCACGGGCTTCGTGCAGTTGGTGACGGGAGAGAGATGAGGTAGCGGACCTTGCTGGGGAGCCTGAGTGGGAATGGGTAGGGCCCGTGCTGAGCCTCTGAGGGAGGCAGGAGCCTTGGGGGAAGGGGCTGTAGCCAGACTTTAGGGCTGCAGGGTCACTGATGGGAGACATGCTGTCCTGGGGGCCTTTTCTGCATCCTGTGCGCTCCAGCATCCAGACTCACCTGAGGACAGCTGGGATGGATAGCATGACCCTGTCCAGTGTGTGCCAGGCTTGTGGTCCCTTGAAACCCTAGGTCAGCGGCCTAGGGAGCTTGAGCGAACTTGCTAACTGGAAGCCTTTCCAGTCCTCCCTACCTTCAGACAGTCTGTCCTCATCACCAGCTTCCCCAGAAGACAGCCCTAACTGCACACAGGTATCCAGGCCCATGAGAACGCCCAACCCGAAGGTTTGCCAGCTGGCCACGCCTCAAAAAATGCATCATAAAACCAGGCACGCCTTTAATCCCAGCACTCAGGAGGCAGAGGTGGGAAGATGGCGAATTTGGAGCCAGCCTGGGTTGCTCAGAGAGATCTGTTCTCAATAAGCAAATGAAAACACACTCTAGGGGCCAGGATGCAGCTCAAGGCGGAATATTTGCTTACTAGCATGCACAAGAACACTAGTTAGTTCCCGCTCAGCCCTACAGAATCAAAAGGCTCAAAGGAAACAGAAAGCGCCAGAGTTGTCCTTTGGCGTCCCTGGGGATCAGTTCCAGAGTTCCAGGTTCCCCATCACGCCCATATCCCCTGAGGCTCAAATGTCTTATACGGAACAGCAGAATGCTTGTGTGTAATCCATATGCACCCTCCCATAGGTTTCAAGTCCTCCCAGATGATGCCTCACATCCAATGCAAGGTGAACTCCTGGTAAACGGTTGCTGTACTATATTGTTTATGGAACTATGGCAAGGGAAAGATGTGTGGACGTGTTCAAAACAAGCACGTTGCCTTTGAATATCTCTTATTACATTTTATTTAGTTATCGTGTGAGTTATTTAGCATGTGCGTCTGTGTGCATGCACGGGATTGGGTTATCTCTGTCATACCATGTTACGCTCTGGAGCTGAACTCAGGTCACCAGTCATGGTGGCAGGAGCCTGTGCCTGTTAAGTCATCTGGTAGACCTCTGCTTTTTAAGTATTTTGATCTGCACTTAGGTAAATCTAGGTATGCAAACCCTGTAGGTGGGTGAGGTCAACTGCATATACCCAATAGCAATACCAAGGAATCTATATTTCCAAGTCAGGGACTAGTAAGTGGGATTCAAAGAAGCAGGACATGCTTTAGGGCCAGAGACAAGTCACTGTGTCAGGAATAGACAGGAGCTCGTTATACAAATCGGGAGCAGGCTCCCCCAGAGCAAGCTGTGTGCTCTTCGGTGGACCTAGCAGGGGAGTGATACGCCTCCATCTCTCTCCCACAGAAGTGAGTTCTGGACTTATCTCCTAGAGAAGCTGGCCCAGAAATGGAATCTAGTCCTTTGTATCTATGTATTTAATTCGGAAGAGAAACCACAAACCTGTAAGCTTGGGTCTGCTGAAGTAATTTAACATCTGCTGCCACATGAATCTAATTGAAACAATTCATTACCAAATTTACTGATCTGTTCAAATGATTTTGTATTTCTCTCTCCAATCACCTTCTGTTCTAGCTAGCCTAGAGAAAATTCTCTTCAAACCTCTCTTGGACACCTTTGGAAAGATGGTGTGGCAGAGGTCAGGGTGCAGGAACCAGCTTTGTCTCCAGACCCTAGAGAGAGCGATGAGCAGACCTTGAACTCAGGCTGCAGCAAAGTCAGGCCTGGTTCTGAGACAGTGTATGCTGCTGTCTCTCAAGTACATTTCTGAAAGGGAAGGAACAAGAGAGTGCCTCAAGAATGGCTGTTTAAAAACAGAACTAAAAATTAAAAAAAAAACAGGGAAAAGAGGGTCAGGATGAAGGGAAAATAGCAAGCTTGTTCCCATGTTCTACATTTGTGCGTGACTGTTCAGAGGCAGTCTGCTAAGAAGCACTTAAAGACGCCTTGAAAATCTGGGGGCTTTTACTAGAATCGGGGCTGAAATTGCAGCTTAATTTTACGGCGGTTTTTTCAAGACCAATGGCATTTCGGTTCCAAGGGAAGGTCATCCCTGGGAACAGCCCCCTGTCCCTCTGCCTTAGAGCACACAGGCGAAACCCTTCCTTTCAAGTAACTGATTTGTAAGCCACTAAAATGTAAGTCACATATGTATGTAAGCACCTTGGAGTCCACAGTGTGTTTCTAAAAGAGCCCTTTTATATCCGAGTGAAGAAGAGGATCCACGAATAAATGTGCAAATAACTAGATCAGAACTAGGGGCCACCTTTTCACTGGGGTAAAATCAGGAGAGGTGGGCCAGGATGGGGGCATAACTGATATAATTGATCTAGCTTTTTTCCCCTCCTCCTCTCGCTGCAGTAATTTTTATGCATGTCATTGTTGCTGTTATTATCCGGGATCTGATCTTGTGTGGCTGATAATACAGACTACATATGAATGCGCGCACGCAGCAGCCAATCACAAATCTATAGTGTCTATTTCTGCATCACCAGGTGCTATCTCGTGGGAAATATCCTCTTTTTTGGCAGGCACACAGAGCGCTGCATTATCTGTCATTTTCATTAGATTCGAGCTACAGCTGAGCCAAAAAGACTTAGTTCTAGCATATGTGCTCAAAACGGCCAAGCTGCGATTGTCCAAATTCACCCTTTCAGGATCACGCGTACACTCCACAGCCGGAGCTCAAGACTGGAGGGAAGCGAGTGGAGCACCTGAATTCCATTTGGAAAATGGTTAAACACCGGGAGCTGCTGAGATTGGGGCTCATTACGGAGATCACTTGGAAGGGGTGGGGGGTTGGGGAGAGACACTGCTTCTCCAAGCAGCCGCAGAGCTCTGAAGCCCACCTGAGAGAAGGCAGGTGTCCTCAGCCCGGATTTTTATGTTCCTTAACAAAGGAAAAACCCGAGCTGCCCTTCTTAGACAGGACTATCAGTATCAGAGCCTTCCTGAGTGCTGTCCCCACAACTTACTCTGGATCACACCAACTTGAAGCCTACACGGAGGTTCTTTGTGTCCCAAAATGCCGTTATACATCTGGGTGACACATCAAACCTAAAGGCTCTTGAAGGATGAAGTACGCCAACCGCAGTGATCGGTCTCCACGCGACAGCTATTCACTAATCCAGCTCTTCATCTGAACACGTGACAACTGACTACAGGCTATAATTAAAAGATTCCAAAAAAAAATATGTACAAAATCCATTGTCTGGGGTGACTGAAAATTGGGCGTGGGCTTGGGCTGGGCAGGATCGCCACTCTACCCGCGGAGGTAGTTAATAATGCAAGCAGACGCTGGAAACCAAGGAGAAAGCACAGAAATAGCTCCCCTACCAATGAGAATGGGAGATTGTGACCGACACCCGACAGAGGTGGTCCCCCAGGTCTTGAAAATCTTGTGCACCGGATAACCCTGTGATCCAGAAACTTTGACTCAGAACCTGCATCTTACAGACCAGAAGGCGAGGCATCTGAGGCTGCATAGGCATGCTTGCATCAGCAACATTACTGACAAGGACGGAAGGCAGAAATATCTCCAGGGTTGGTCCATAGATGAGTGTGGACAGAAGTTTCCGTCCAGCCCCGTCCCACCACCCTCCAGTCCCAAATGAACACACCCGGGCTTACATTATACATAAACTGCTTGGCCTATTTGTTCAGGCTTCTCATTAACTAGGTCTCTTTAATTATTAACCCCCCATTCCATTAATCTGTGTATCTCCCCGTGGTCTTGGCTTACCAGTAAATGCCCAGACCTCTTTCTTTCCCAGCGGCTGCACGGCTTCTTGCTGGCAACTCAGTCTCTGCGTTCCTCTTCCCAGAATTCTCCTAGTCTGGTAGCCCCGCCTATACGTCCTGCCTGGCTACATCCTGCCTGCCCATTGGCCGAAACAGCTTTATGCACGAGCCAATAACAGAAGCATATGCTCACAGCATACAGGTCACCACCCCGCCATCAATGAAGAGATCGGCAAAAAGAATGAGATTAGCAAAAAGAATGAAGGTTTCCCGGAGATTCGACTCAGCGGTAGAGCACTTTGCTTAACATGTACAACGCCCTGAATTCATATCCCACATCCCCATCCAAACAAACGGACAAATAAGGTCGGTTGCTTTATTTAAAAAAAAAAAAACCCCACTAGAACGGAAGCACTCCAAGGTGGTTGTGTGTGGGTACACCACCATAAGTTCTCTCCATATCTCTGAGCTGTACATTTTTAAAATGGTTAAAAAGAGGATGGAGAAGAGCTGGTTCCGTGGCCAAGAGCACAAACCGCTCTTGGAGAGGACCTGGTTCAGTTCCTGGCGCCACACGAGGGCTCAGAAACCACCTATCACTAGCTCCAGGGGATTCGATGCCCTCTTCTGGCCTCTGAGGTTACACACACACACACACACACACACACACACACACACACACACACACACACACACACACACACACACGCATGCACTCACAAATCCATTAGTGAACAAATCTTTTAAGCACGGTAACTTTTATGTTATAACGTAATTTTTAACAAATGGGGTTTGTGATTTTTTTTCCCCCAGGGTACACAGCCCTGTGAGTCTCCCTGCCACATCAAGCCATGAGGTGTCACTCCACGTTGCCAGGGAGGAGGTGAGCTCTTTAAAAAAACACACAAGAGCCGGGTGGTGGTAGTGCACGCCTTTAATCCCACCACTTGGGAGGCAGAGGCAGGCGGATCCCTGTGAGTTCGAGGCCGGGCTGGACCGACAGCCTCCAAAACAATACAGAGAAACCCTGTCTCGTAAAAACAAAACAAAACAAAACAAAACAAAAAACAAAATAAACAAACAAACAAATAAAACCACACAAAGTTACAGAGGCACCCCCAGCATGGGAGCAGGATGAGGCCCGCTGGTCCAGAATCATCTTAAGTTTCCACGGCATGGGAAGCTTCTTGATTAATCATGACATGAAATTTCTCTGGGGAGAAAAAAATAATGCTGATGAAAGCATCTCCCCTCACCCTCACGAGTCTGTACCAACAGTCAGCCATTGTCCCATCTGCAGCAATAATGTCACCTAGTCAGGGGCAAGGAAACAAGATTAAAAAGGAGCTTGGATGCTACGTAACTGGAGCTCTTGGGGCTTCAGAGTAGGGGGATCATCAAGGTGACCAACGTCACGTGGGGGCAAGGCGGCAGTGTTGCATTTGACACCTTGGGCTTCTGTAGAACACGACACGGACAGGGTGGCTGGCAGGACCCTAGCTGCTTCCACCGGAACCCCTGAAACTGGAACTCTGAGATCGCGGTAGCTGTGAGCTTGGTTTCTGGTGAGGACTGGTCATGTCTCCATTTGCAGACAGCTGTCTTCTTGTGTTCTCACCTTGGGGACAAAGAGAAAGCGTTCTGGTTGTTGTCCTACCCTTTCTTATATAGCTGCTAACTCTATCACAATGACTGCATCTAACCCCGATCACCTTGTGGAGGTGCTGTTTCCAAATACTGCCACAGTACAGGTGTGACGCTTGACCTGGGAGTTTGGGGGTGGGACACATTCATTCAGTCTGTAAGGAATGTGATATCTTCATAGAACCCTTCCTTCTGTGGCTGGGGGTGCAGTACACCACACCCACTCTGCTATGGGACACCGTGGCTTCTCTGTTCTCACCCCTGGATTTTTAGGTCATATACTCCCCTTAAATGAATCAACCAATCTCTGTCCCTCTCTCCTCTTTCTCTGTGTCTCTGCTTCATGCTCATGATGATTTGAGCCACTTTTCTCTGCCCTGCCCTCTCCACCATGATGGACCACCACTTCTGAAAACGTGGACCCAAGTGCAGCCTTCCTTTCTGAAGCTGCGCGTGTCTGGTGTTTCCTAACAGCCTTGAAAAAGTTCGGCTCATAAAACCCTCCACCCAACTGGACTTCAAGGATGGGTTTGCAGATGGGACATTGACATTACCTGTGGGATAACCGATTTTTGCAATATTCCTCCACAGGAGCTCTGTTGCCCATTAATTGTAATGTGTTTGGAGACAAAATAAGTAATATTTTTTTATCAGAAGGTATTTTTCTCTTGTATTTTCTGTCAGTTATCCCTCTGTGAATGGAAATAAGGTAAACCCGTCTGAAAACATTTGAGTGAGAGAATATACAAACAAACTTCCAAACTGTCTTTCAGCAAGTAAGTCTAAAGTTATTGAATATGCAAATTGCCTTATTAAAAGAAGAATGATGTCTTTTTCGGCAATCAGTTTAATTACAGTGAAGCCCTTCAATGGAGAAATCAACTTGTTTCTCTGAGTAGAGATTCTTTAGAAAGGGAATTTAGGTATAGCACATCAAAATTAGAAAATTTGCACTTGGTAAGAAAAAGTGCCCATAAAAATGGTCTGTGCTGAGCTAGGGAGGTGAGGAGGAGGGCCAGGGATGCTGACACCCATCTCAAAAGCTCCGTTTGGGGCTGATTGAGACTCATTCTGTCTACATGGTGTTTTTATGCTCTAAAACTCAGATACAGTTGGGATTTAGCTCAGCAGTAGAGCTTATCCCTAAATCCCCAAGTGAGGGGCTGGGGGTGTGGTTCACTGATAGAGCTGCTGCCTAGAATCCCCCAGTGAGGGACTGGGGTGTCTTTCAGTGGTAGAGCACCTGTTTATAATCCCCCAGTGATGGGCTAGGGTGTGGCTCAGTGGTAGAGACCCCGCTTAGACACCCCCAGACTCAGTGGTAGAGCACTTACCTAGAATTCTTAAGTCCATGATTCCAACACCAGCACTAGTCTTAAAAAATTTACTCCTTTCTTGCAGGTGTTTATCCCAACTACATAATGCCTTACAAGGAAGGTGTGGATGTGGTTGGCAGAGTCTACAAATGTTGAAGCTGAAATTCATATGGCTCACTTATTGAGTAGACTTTTCAAGGGAGTCTTGTCCATTCTTCCGCAGGCCTTAATTATTTCAAGTTCTAGTTCCCACTTGTCAAACATCTCCCTTTGTGAGATTAGATACCAGAGGACCTTTGCACAGCACTGCTAAGTGGAGACCCATGTGCCCAGGTCTAATCTGTCTGGGGGCCTGTTGGTATGTCAACTCACAGGTTTGGGGTCACATCTAAAAGGCACACACATCCAGTGCACTTGTTTAACTCCCAGACACTTGAGGACCATGGTACCCCCCCAGGGATGGCGGGGCAAGGCTTAGGCATGGGGTGGGAAGCCCTTCACTGGAAAACAGTCATGGGAAAGTAACCTATCCTCTCGGCGCCTCAGTTCTCCAATCTCCAGGAGGTGTTGACTCTGTTTCAACAAAGATGGTTTTGGAATTCCTAGAGGAAAATCTGGGTGATTTGGGGTGACACAGGTACACAGTGAGCTCTCAGTTAATGTAGCTAGCGGAGGTAGCAATGGTAGAGTCCTAAATCCGGGCACAGGTAGATGTATTGGGAGGACAAGATAATGAATTCTAGTGAAGGGGGATGCTGTGGTTTGCATAGGGAGCGGTCTCCAAGGAATCTGTGTGTGCTGGAGGCTCTGGTCTCCCCTGGTAGCGCTTCCTGACAGGCGACTGAATCCGGGCAGTGGGGCCACTAACTCCATCAGTGGATGAGGGCGCAGCTGAATCTGCAAAGGGGAGATGGTGTCTGCTCGTAGGTCAAAGGTCACTGGGAGAACGAGTTTGAAGAGTGTATAGCTTGCCCTGCCTCTTCCTGTCTGACACTTGCTTCCCGGCTTCCCCGGAGGCACAAGTTTTCTGCCACCCACCGCAGCCTAACACCAGTGAGGAGTTTCTGCCTCCCAGCAGGCCCGAAGGCAGGGGAACCTCTTGACCATGGGCCAAAGCCTCTAAAACGTTGGTCTGTCAGGCGTTTGGTCACAGCTATGGGAAAATCTAGTACAGGGAAAAGAACCTGAAGGAGCCTGAGGAGACTGTCAAGGGGAGAAATAATTGGAGAGGGGGCTGGGAAAGAGTGGCGGGGGTTGCAAGAGGGCTGAGGTGCTCAGACCTTTCAAGGAGAGCTGGAATCCACCGTGTCTGCAAGCACACCACTTTGTGCTTTTAGTCTGGAGCCGGGCAAGCCCGGCCTGGCCCATCTGTCCCTGAACAAGGTAACAAAGCGAAGTCCAAACCTCGGTAGGTCCCCAGTATGGCTTCCGTGTGGAGATGAGGAACGGCGGGAACGCAAGCCATCCTGTGGTCTCATCTGACCCTGGCGGTGGTCACCTTTCATCACAACAACCGTCTGTGGTTCCAAGAAACCAGGGGACAGGTTGACACAGCGTTAACTCCTAAACCCCTTGAGCCCTGAATTCTTCTATTCACTGTTCCCGTTGGCACATAAGGTTCTCTGTGTCTTGTTAGTCAGTTTTGGTGGTGGTGGGTGCTTTCAATGAGAGTCCCCAACACTGTGGAGGAATATGTCTCCAAGGTGCATGACTTAAAAAAAAAAACAAACAAACCATCACCTCTTCCTGTCTGTCCCGTGGCATTGAGCACATCAGATACAGCATTGCGTTCCTCTGAGAAGCCGGTCTCACGAGTTGAGCTATGCCATCGAGGCTGAGTTGATGTCACAGAGCACATGAACCACGTCCCTCTCCGACAGGGCCATCCAGGAAGAGAACACGTTCAAAGAGGAGCCTAGACGCCTGGGAGGGCATTGAGAGGCATAAGTGGGGGACACTGAGCCTTGGAGGCCGTGGCCATGTATCCGCTCTCTGTGCTTATGGGCCGAGGGTGGCTAGTCAGATGCCCGTGGGCCCCACACCGAGAGGGGTCAGGCGGTAGTTAGCACCCTTGCTTTCCGTCAAGCACTGAAAGAATGGGTCTTTATGTGACTCT